AACCCCTGAAGGTCTCCTCTGATGCCTTTGACCTTGCCTTCAGCTCTGAAATAAAGCACCAGTTGCTAGAGTGACTCGCTGAAGGTCACAGGGAGGCCAGGCTGTTTCCACTTGAGGTTTTTAAATGTGTTTAACAGAAGAAAAGGAGTAAGTACCGAAACTGGAAGGGAAAAAGACTGTAGATTGACAGTAAGTGAGTAAATGAAGTGTGTTCAGTGGAAATACAGTGAGGTATTCCCTCAGCCAAATGGAAGAATCTGGAAGGATCTGCAGCAGTGGGTTGACGAGTGTCTCCCCCAAATACACGTCCACCGAGAACCTCCCAATGTGCTGTATTTGGAAATAGGCTCTTGGCAGATGTGCTGGGTTAGGGTGGGCCCGGATGCAGTGACCGGTATCCTCATACGAGGAGACACACAGGGACAAGAGGAGAAGCCTATGATGATGGCAGCAGAGACCGGGGAGCTGTGGCTCCCGGCCAGGGACTGCTGGAGCCACCCAGGCTGGAAGAGGCAGGAAGGACCCTCCCTGGGAGCTTCCAGAACAGCAGGTGCGTCATGTCGGTTGTTTTAAGCCACCTAGTTCACGGCCCTCTATCACAGCAGCTGCAGGACACCCACACCCCCCAATTCTCTTTAGGAGGCAGAGGCCTTGTGGGTGGCAGTGAGCCCTGCAAACCCGAGGACTGGGTCCCTGTGACAGTCTTGGGTGTCTGGCCCTGGGTGCTGCAAGGCTTCCCATCTCTCTCTTGCCTCCGTCTCACGGGGACCATTGTGGGAACACCAGGCCCCCTGGGGAATCCAGAGTCACCCCCATCTCAAGATACTTGACTTAATCCCATTTGTAAAATTCCTTTTGCCCCACGTAAGGTGACATGTCCACAGGTTCTGGGGACTAGGATGTGACTGTCTTCGGGACCATTCTTCTGACCTCCCAGGCCACGTACAGGCTTGGCTGTTCCAGAACTTCATATAATGAATCACACCGGCCATCCTCTTATTTTACTTGACACAAAGTTTTGGACCCAGCAGGTCCTTGCACATCATGGTGCTTTATTCCCTTGTCCTGCTGAGGGGGGTTCCGGGCTACGCACACAGCAGTTTGCTTATCCATCCACCTGTTGCTGAACACCTGACATGTTCCCAGATTTTTGACTATTATGACACAAGCTGCTCTCAATAATCCTTCCAAGAATTTTTGTGGACATATGTTCCGCTGTCTCTTGTGTAAACATCTATGAGAGGAACTGCCAGATCATAGAGTGAATGTGTGTTCAGTTGTATAAGAAATGTCCAGACCTTTTCCCAAAGTGGTTACAGCATCTCACACTCCTACCACCGGCCTCTGAGGGCTCAGGCTGCTCTATGTCCCCAGCAATGCCCATCTTTTACATTTTAGCCATGCAGGTGGATGTTGGGTAAGGCTGCATTTTGTGTGCGTGTGTGTGTGTTAAAATATACACACATGAAATTTACTATTTTAAGTGTGCGATTCAGTGGTGGTATGTACATTCACATGTCATACAACCATCCCCACCCTCCATCTCCAGAACTTTCCATCCTCCCAGACTGAAGCTGTCCCCAGAAACACTAACCCCCCACCCCATCCCCCAGCCCCTGGCCCACCACCCACTTTCTGTCTCTGTGGATGTGAGTCCTCCGGGGACCTTCTGGGAGGGGGATCAGACAGGGTCCGTCCTTCCCTGTCTGGCTTATGTCACTGCCACCAAGATTTACCCACGTTGTAGCAGGTGTCAGAATTTCCTTTCTTTTTAAGGCTGGGTACTCTTCCAGGGTGTGCACGGACCATGTCGTGTTTATCCATCCTGTCAGTGGGCACTGGGGCGTTCCCACCCTTGGCCCAGTGAATCGTGCTGTGAAAGTGGGTGTGTGAACAGCTGTTCGAGGCCCTGCGTCAGTTCTGTGCACATACCCAGAAGTGGGATCGTGGGGTCATGAGGTTAGTCTCTCTTCAGTTCTCAAACTGCCTTCTCATTGTACACTTTTTGATAGATGGGAGAAAATTTTTTTTATTGTAGTTGAATCTACAAATGTTTTACACAGAAAAGGTCTTCTCTGCTCAGGGGTCAGAATCACCCATTTACAGATTTTTTTATTAAAAAGTTAATTCCTTCCAGAGCCAAGACTACTCGACTTCCTCCCTGGGGAACTCTGGGGGTCGAGGGCGGTTTCTGCCTGACCGCGGGGCCAGGGAGGGCGACGTTCGGCCTTTCCCAGGCGCCGAGCCCTCGACCGAGAGAGGCGCTTTCCCTCCGGGCCCGGCGGCCCCCCGACAGCAGCAATCCCAGACCGCAGGCCGCGAGGCCCAGGCGGGCGCAGATCCTCAAACAGCTTCCCGCCTGAGACTTCCAACTGCAAATGGGAAAGCGCATCGCCGTGGAGGGCGACCATGTGCTGTCGCCGCCCGCAGGCCAGGGCAGGGGAGCCGAGGCGGGGCGGCGGCCCTTCGCTGCTGCAGCCGAGCCCGCGGCATCCTGCCCCCCACCCCTGACCAACCCCAAGCAGAAGGAAGGGCCCAGAGCCGGCAGAAAAGGAACAGTGAGCCTGTTTATTGTGGATTAATTCACTTTGTATTAACAATTCCGCACGGTATTAAAACACTGCGAGAAAGTGGGTGTGGCACGCCTGGAAACTTTTGTTAAAAATCATAAATAAAAACCACTGGACATTCACGCGGATGGGGTAGAACCTGCTAGAACTAGACTGCTTCTGAAAACCGACCCGGTCTTTACAGTGTTTGGCAATGGTTTCCATGGACCCGCAAGGAGGAGGGTGGAGCGACCGAGAGAGTATGGCTTCTTTTCAGGAGACCCCGTGGCAGGCGGGCTGCCCTAAGTGCTCCTGAAGGGCGAGGCCTTTGGCTGGAGGCGCGGGTCCGGGGCCTCTTCCTGCCCGCGCCGGGGGGCGGCACGCCGAGGCTGCTCCCAAGCTGGGGGGGCCGCCTGGAGGCCCAGCGTGGCCCCGCGCGCACGCGGGAAGCCAG